GCACTACACCACACACTACATCCTGCAGTTGTGGGTGAGGTGACCACTGCAAACATTGCAACCACTCCAACAATCACAACTCCAACCACCTTTCGGTCAATCAGTGGATTCGCTCTGCCATCCGTGATTCACAACAACCAACCTCTCCTATAGGTTTCCTATTCTGAAACTTCCGCCACCGCCTTGTGCGGTACTACTGGTATATATATATATAAGATATATATATATAAAATATAATATAGTATAAAACCAATCATATATATATATATTCATATTCATATTCAAGCAGCGAGCTGGACGATCCATACACATGTTTCACAACCCGGAATTAGCGACCTAGAAAACACACACAGGTTTACATTTAATGTTGCTCATGACATTGCATTATCAAGATCTTTGATGCGATGGGGACCTTGCAAAGTTATTCATGCAGGATACCTGCTAAAACCTCCAAGCAACTAAGCTTTTTCTCAACCAACCCCTGGCCCAGCATGTCCTGGAATCCAAGCGCATGCCGCTGCAGCTCCCGCATTCATTGAAGAGCAGAGTTCGGCATACCATGGAAAAAGCGTTCAAAGCAATGATGGTCTAAAATTGATTTGAGCGCAGTGCCACGCCAGCACAACACATGAAGGCTCCCAAGCAAGTTCAGAAAGACACTTCCCCAGCAAAACTGATGTGACAAGCAAATCTCCAGTTGGAGACATATCAGTTGTCGCACTGATAAGAACAGATACTCAGAGTGCCACAAAGCACGCTACACTCTGATGGTACACACACAAATTTTGTCATATGATGCTTTCACCCAATGTTATGCCTTCCAGTAGCGGGACAGCGGTGTTTTTCGAACAACAACCCACAGCTGCACACACGTTGCCTGCAGCGATTAAACGAGCTGGCAAGTGTGAAATGGTTTCAGGTCAGCCATGTCGGTCGACACAGCTCATCCAAGTCAGTCATTGCACGCACCCACCTTAAGCGGGTTTCTGTCAACATGCAAAAAACTTCAAGTTCTCATTGCACAACCCGACGGGCCAAAAGCCAGGTCAAATCAGCTGCTGAAAGCTTCCCGGCTCTCCTCATCAAATTTTTGCGACGGCGCTCCTTCACAGTGGCTCAAATTAACGAACTCTGATTCTCGCAAACTAACGAACTTAAAAAGCAAGAAGATACAGGAACAGGAATGATTGTCTAGAGCAACCCTAGGGTGTAACTCTAGGGGCCCAGTCCGGAGGGGCCTAGTTGTACAAGGTTCAAAGTACCAACATTTTGCTAAGACCTTCTGCAAACCAAGAAAAGGTTCTTAGAGTCTAAGATCCATAAGAAGAAATTCTTAGAACACCAAAGCAAGTTCTGTGACTCCAATCGCCTCTGCGAACCTCATTGGGTTCTAAGTGGTTCTTACTGATCTTACTGTCCTCTAGACCACACCCTGCTTTAAAAGTGGTTCCCGAAAGTGGCTCCTCAAACCCTGGGCCTGCCTCGTTCCTTATCTGCTTCGTAGCGACTTTGAGCTGGTGCTTCAGCGTCTGCCTCTCAGCGCGCAATTGTGGAAGTGGATCCGGTGGGGCTGCCGCAACAGGCGTCCTACCCCCACCAGCTGCAGCAGCGTCATCTGCACCATGGCTTCGCCGTTCGGTATCATCACTTGCTGCATCAGACATGCTCAATGTGCTGTGTGGTGCACAACAGTCTCCGCAAGCTGAATCCAAAAAGGCTGCGACACGGTGACTCAAATTGTTCCTCTCTGTCTCGCAACAAGAACAACAACATCATAGGAAAGAATCACATTGTCCGCCATGTGTTAAGGCAGGTTTCTGCGCCCTTAAAATGAAGGCATTCGATGCTTCAAGTTGATGGGCCCTTATAGTGCCATACTTGCCGCAGCTTTTTTCTTGCATAAGCGGCACGGATTGTGACACGCCTTGGGCGTTTTCAGAAGAGATAGGCAGCAGCATAACTCATTTTGCGCCTTTTAGGCCAAATGAGAGCAAGTTCTGCATCTGTCGGTTTGGCAGGAAGCGGAAAGGACACTGGATTCCCCATGAAATTTTTCAGTGAGGAATGTAGCTGTGAAACATCTCCCCCGCACCCGACACCTGCAAAGGCGTGGGCCCATTTCCTTTTTCCAAAAAAATCTTGACCTGCTTGGCCCAGCTGCCAAACCCAAGCAAGCAGGTCAGGGTGACCATCCAGCGCTGTTCTTCTGTGCTCTTGGTATTTACGCCGTAGATAAATTTTGAATGCTGCAAAAGCAAAAATGTCTAAGGGTTGCAACAAGCTAGTGCCACAGGATGGCACAAAGAGAAGCTGCAGTCCTTTCTTCTGTGCAAAAGACAGCACTTTTTTCGGCAAGTGGGGGCAGGCGCAATCCAAAAGCAAGATAGGCTTCACAGCAGGGAGCCAAGGTTGCAAGGCTTTTTGCAATTCAGTCAGAATTGTCACAAAGGTCTCGGCCGTCACCCACGAAGACTTACCACGAAGCAGTTGCAATCTGGATGGCGGCAATGCCTTGAAGGCTCTGGCAACAAGCTTGGGCATCCGGCTTTCACTGCAAACCAAGAAATGGGGCAAGGCTGCTTGAATACAAGGACGGCTAGCGATCATGGCCACATAAGTGAACGTCTTCCTGGATGTGTCTTTCTTCACCCTCATATGAGCATTGGCAGGGTGAGTCTTCCAGCAATGGGCACCCACCACACATCCTGTTGGACATGCCGGCGAGCAAGTAACGCATGTCTCATCCACATTGATCCAAACAATGTCCTGGTGGGAGAATTTGTTGGCCAAGTAGGAAGCTGATCTCCAGAAAGATGCCACCTGCCAAGTTTTGGTATAATTTCTGGGTCCAAAAAAGAGCCCGTTTTCCGGGCCCGAAAATGGATCCGCCAAACAAAAACGCCTCATTTCTAAGCCCAGAAAAGGGTCACAAAAACAAGCCTTGCAAACGGAATAATAGCACCGCCTTCTGGCGAAGAAGGTCGGGATCCACAGCATCAGTTGCCCGCAGGCGCCCTCTCCGCACAGCCCATCTAGCCCGAAACCGGGCCACAAATTTGTTGACGGTGCGTTTTCTAGGTTGCCCACATGGCGTGCATCCAAACAACTTGCTCTCATGAAAATCATACACTTCCGCGGCCGATGGAGCCACACCTTGGGAAAGGTTCAGATGCTTTATCCATCTGAACATATCATGTTCGCGAAGGAACTGAGAAGCAAACTTCCGCGCAGGTACCCAAAGTGCATGGCCATCATCAAATACCTGCAGCAAATCGTCCAGGTCATGCTCTGTGAAGAGTGTCCGCACAGACTCTGACGTGGGAAATCTTGCATCAGATGTAGCCAAAGAGGATAGCCGCTGTGCTGCCTGCACTGCCAAACCCAAATCCCATTCTGATACAGCATATACTGCAAGAACTCGCCTCACGGCAGCGCAAGATAGGCCACCCTGGAGCAAAGACTTTGCCTGTCGGCGGGCTTGCTGTTGGCAACTTCGGATTTTGGCTTGGTTCTGCGCCAGAGTTGCCTTGACTTCAGCCGCTTTGTTCTGCGCCAGAGTGACGGTGGCCAGGGACATGAAACAAGTTAAAGCTCGGCTGTTCTGATGGCATGTGCCTAGGTGCATTGTTGTCATATATTATATATACCTTATAATTCAAAGAACCATTCTTCTGCTCAGTAATTATTCTACATAACAAAGCTTTTTATAGCCACTTGGCTGTTCATCGGGCCGCTTGCAGTACTGAAGCCAAGGAAAGCTGGAAACCCAGGCTTTGACTGAGGATACTTACTCTGCAGGCTAGCGGGTTCTTACACATCTGCGAAACCATTTAAGTTTGGGCGCAAATGCACCTCTTATTGTATCACATCACATTGCTGAATGCATACTTATATACCCTACACACACACACACACAAGCGGGGCCCATGGCTGGGAAGCTAGACCGCAGCTCCAACAATGGGCTCATTTTTTGTCCCTGTAAATTCCACAGTGCGTGGCAGCGGCCGCCGGCTCCTGAATTGGAGCAAATCTCATTGGTTTTGACATCCCCGTGCAGGAGCATCACCCATGTTCCAAAAAGTTTTGGTGCCATGAACGCTAAACCTGCCAACCAAGGTGTGTCAATCTTAGCCTCAAATTTTTGGAAGGTGGCAAGCTTTAAAGGCCAATGCAGATGACATGTGAGTGTGTAAAGACACCCACCAATCCCCCACCAACAGAATCACCGTCCAAACAGATTTCTGCTATGCAAACCCACCAAGCAATCAACACATATCACAGTTGTAGCCCAAACATTGTTGGATTGCGATAAGCCACACACCAGACCCTTGCCAATAATATCTGAATGGGGAAAGGCCCTCTGAAACAGAGTTCCTCACAGCGCGTTTTTCATCCAAGAGCTATTCCCCAGCGTTCATTCCCCGAAGAAGTCTTTGGAAGCTTCCATCATGTCATTGAGCTCTTCCTCGTCAAGCTGAGCAACTGAATCAATGTTTGGAGCCGGAGTAGAAAGCAGCGTTGTGTTGGGCTCTGCAACCTTGCTGTCACCCAAGGCCAAACCCGCTTTGAAACCTGGAGCTGCAACTGTAGCCTGCGCATGCAAGCAGATGGACCACTTTTTCCAGTATGCATATCAATGATGGAGTGGAGTTTGCAGGATAGGATAGGGTACTACGTCCTGAAGATGCGGCTAAAAATCTTGGATCAGGCTATTTGTTCAAGGGAGTTTGAAGCAGAAACCACCTCTAATATGCAACCATTCAGAGCAAAACCACGATTCAAAAACAAAACGTTGGGTAAGTCCATTCAAGGGAGGCACACAACCGTTCCAGGCAAAAAAAACAGCACTCAACGACAAAACATCGGGTAAGGCCATTCAAGGGAGACACCCTAAATACTGGATGACTGCACTGGATCGTCGGCCTCCCTAAATACTGGATGACTGCACTGGATCGTTGGCCTCTCGGCCTCCCCTGAATGGGCTTTTGCAACGTTATGTTTTACTCCCTATCACCCGGCACCTGGTGCTTCGTCTCGAAGACTTTGTCAGGGATGTGCAACCAGAGCGTGCGACGATCTAGTGCTTGTTGATGGTTCACATCGAAATACTCTGGAGGCCAAAATTGACCTATGTGATGATTTGTTGTGAATATCCTCGGCACAGCACTGGGAATGTGACCGTCTTGATTCCTAGCTCGAACGTCTCGAGGGTGGGCAATGTCGGTCCAAGCTTTCGCGTCGTCGATGTCAATGTTGCGGAAGGTGCATTCATCAACCAGTAGTCCTTGTCCACCATTGATGGTGATCTTCCTGATTTGGTCCAATTTTGACAGGAAATGTACCCCAGCAGGGCACAAGCTCAAGAGGATGCTGAGGGCCATTTCTGTTTTCCCGGTTCCGGGCGGGCCTTGCAAAATCAAAGCAACTTTGGAGTAACCGGTTTGCATCCACTCTTGCACAGGCGGTGGCAAAACAAATTGGGTCAACGCAAATGTGGGTGTGGACACCAGAGTTGTAGCGCCCAACGTTTCTGGACGGTGCCACGCACCCAAGATCTTCTGCAACTCTGCGTTGGCATCTCGCAAGGACCCCAAATGGTTCCAAATCAATGGATTGCCGGCCTTTTTCTCCTCTTTGGCTTCCTGGCTGCAGGATGGGGTGCCAAAAAATAGACACTTCGATATTTTGTGAAACTTTGGGCCAGAATGAAACAAGTGTCAGCCGATTACAGCAATGGCAAGGTTAGGCTGCTTTTATTGCAGAAAGTAGTCCTTGCATGATACAGAGAATCCAAAATCCGTGATAAAGACACTTGAGTGCCGCAAATCCAGCCTGCCAAAGTGCGCCCACAGCACGGATACCGCGCTCAACGACAAAGTCCGTCAGCTCACTGAAAGTCATCTGTTTGCGGCGCTTGGGCTCAGGTTCTTTGCGCTGCTGCACGCCATCATTTTGGCGTCGACCTGACATCTGCAAAGACATCTGACCAAGCTCAGCTTCGGCTCTTTGCCATGTGTATGCTGCGGGGTAAAAAACCATTTGACGATCCAAGTCCTGGGCCGGCTTCTTTGCACTCTCGCTCATCAAATAATCCAAGTAGGCCACCCAGCCCGCTCGGTGAAAGGTAAAAAACCCGTGGGCGCCAAATTGCTCACCCAACATCTTGCAGACACTAGCATGTACGAAAGGTTGTCGAAACAAGAAAATCAAATGTTTGTGCCTTTCTCTTGCGTTCCCATCTGCTTGGTAATGTTTGTGCGGCTCGTCTGCCACTGCTGCCTTAACGAGGTTGTGGAGATAGCCCTTGCGACGTAGCACAGTTTTGAAAGTTTCCAAGAAGTCTTCTCGAGAAACATCAGCAGGCTTGAGGACTCTCGCGGATTGGCGCTCTGACAACTCTGCATGAAAATGGCGTGGACACGGCCATGTGAACATCCCTGCCCGTGCCCGAGCTTTCGCTGAGGCAACTTCAGCTTCGGAGGATGTCTCAGAGTTCTCCAGGGTCACACATGGTTTATCCTCTTCAGAGGAACCAGAGCTGCCAGAGCCGGAGTTAGAAGAGCTTGACATGGCCCCAAAAAGCGGCGAGGTTGATGCCACATGTCCATTGTAAAATCACCTAGCACTCTCCCTCCTGCACGTGAAACCTAAGAATCACCAAATACTGCGCCTGCCACAAAAAACTGAACTAGAGGTTCACTAAATACTGCGCTTGCCACGAAAAATCGAACTACAGGTTCTCCAAATACTGCGCCTGCCACAAAAAATCGAACTAGAGGTTCACCAAATACTGCGCCTGCCACGAAAAATGGAACCCACTTGCAACACCTCCTAAGCGAAAACGCAAATCATAACGTTGGAATCCAACGTTACGATCCGTTTTCGGCGAGAGTTCCACGAAAAACATAAAATCATAACGTTGGAACGCGTTTCAAAGAGAATTAACAATATTTCCTTTTTTGCCGCGATCCAACGTTACGATTTTAGGTTTTTTGCGAAGCTGTCGCCAGAAATTGAAGGTAACGTTGGAATCCAACGTTACGATTTAGCGTTTCCCCACACGTTTGGCAACCTGGAGCTTCAGATTCCTTGCGCCCACCACAAAACATGGACCTAGAAGTTCACCAAATACTGCGCCTGCCACAAAAAATGGAACTTGAGGTTGTCCAAATATCACGCCTGCCACGAAAAAATGAACTAGAGGTTCACCAAATATTGCCCTTGCCACGAACAATCGAACTAGAGGCTCACCAAATATTGCGCCTGCCACGAAAAATCGAACTAGAGGTTCACCAAATACTGTGGCTGCCACGAAAAATGGAACTAGAGGTTCCCCAACTACTGCGCCTGCCACGAAAAATCGAAATAGAAGTTCACCAAATACTGCAACTGCCACGAAAAATCGAAGTAGAAGTTCACCAAAGACTGCTCCTGCCACGTAAAATGGAACTAGAGGTTCATCAAATATTGCGCCTGCCATGTAAAGCATATGAGAGAGTTGACTGCCACGAAAAAATAAGACAAACAAACAAAAGCCAAAGGCAGCGTCACGCACTGCCCCTCCCACGCAAAATGACACCACAAAAGCTCCAAGTAGTCCTCCTACCAGAGAGTTGTCAAGTACTCTGCATGTTATACAAAAAATGAGATTGGGATGGCCACGAAAATATCCCAGCTCCATGGTGGGCTCATCCAATATATCATGGTTGATTTAACTGACGGCCTTGAGAGATGGCGCTCAATGCTTGTGGTTTTCAGTAGCACTGCCTCTCACCGCCGGATCTATGTCCGGCATTTGAACCAGCAACTGCCTCCGGCTTTCCCAAGGTTGTTTCTGAGGAGATATGTCATACGTACCGATATCTGCACCAAATCATTTAATGTTGTTCATCATGGTGATGGTATGAAGGTTAATGTCTAACAAAGCACCCCTAGCTTTCATGACGTTTGGTTGTAATGTCAACCCCGGATTAATAAACCTTGGTTGATTAATTGTGGTGGTTCCCCCAAATAGTAATAAATCGCTACTGAAATGGTACCCCCCCAATTAAACAGCCTAGGGTTTATTAATCCGGGGTTGACATTAAGGATCTTGCGACATTGCGTCGCCGGATCACAGCCAACCCAATGTTAAACTTGAATGCAACCACCAAGGTTCCTCTGGGGAGATGATCGAGAGAACCCAACTATTATATGATGACACATGGATACCCATGCGCCGTGTCCTGTCTGCACAGCCGCTGCAGCCGCGCGCAAAGCACCAAATGAAGCTGGCCACTCAAAGCAGCGCCGCTGCAGCTTTCAGGGGCATGAATCAACACCTCAACATCAAAGGAGCGCGATCTCCAATGCAAACACCCAGAACTTCTTGGGGAAATCCGACATATACCCAAATTTTACCTATCGAAGGAAGTTTGGAAGCTAAACTTCCGACAATATGGAGAGATGGAAATGGCACAGCCAGGAAGAAACTCGGACGTGGAGAAAGTCAGAAGGAGAAGATAAGAGATGGAGAAGATCAGAGATGGAGAAAGTCAGAAGAGAGAAGATGAATGCAACTACACTCGTTTACACGACACCACAAACCACAAATTTCACTCCACTACGCTACAGCTACAACTGCGCTACACCACACTACATCCAGCAGTTGTGGGTGAGGTGACCACTGCAACCATTGCAACCATTCCAAAAAACACAGCTCCAACCACCTTTCGATCCATCAGTGGGTTTGCTCTGCCATCCATGATCACAGCAACCAACCTCTCCTATAGGTTTCCTATCTTTGAAACTTCCGCCACCGCCTTGTGCGGTTCTACTATATATATATATATATATATATATATAAAATATAATATAGTATAAAACCAATCAATATATATATATTCATATTCATATTCAAGCAGCGAGCTGGACGATCCATACACATGTTTCACAACCCGGAATTAGCGACCTAGAAAACACACACAGGTTTACATTTAATGTTGCTCATGACATTGCATTATCAAGATCTTTGATGCGATGGGGACCTTGCAAAGTTATTCATGCAGGATACCTGCTAAAACCTCCAAGCAATTGTTTTTCTCAAATCAACCCCTGGCCTAGCATGTCCTGAATCCAAGCGCATGCCGCTGTAGCTCCTGCATTCATTGGAATTTAAGAGCACATACCATGGAAAAAAGCGTTCAAAAGCTGTGATGGTCTAAAATTGATTTGAGCGCAGTGCCACGCCAGCACAAACACATGAAGGCTCCCAAGCAAAGTTCTGAAGACACTTCCCCAGCAAAAATTGATGTGACAAGCAAGTCTCCAGTTGGAGACATATCAGTTGTCACACTGATAAGAACAGATACTCAGAGTGCCACAAAAGCACGCTACACTCTGATGGTACACACAAAATTTTGTCGTATGATGCTTTCACCAATGTTATGCCTTCCAGTGGCCAGATGTTTTTTCGAACAACAACCCACAGTTGCACGTACACGTTGCCTGCAGCGATTGAAACGAGCTGGCAAAAGTGTGAATGGTTTGCGGTCAGCCATGTCGGTCGACACAAGCTCATCCAAAGTCAGTCATTGCACGCGCCCACCTTAAGGGGTTTCTGTCAACATGCGTTCCAAAGTTCTCATTGCACACAACCCGACGGGCCAAAAGCCAGGTCAATCAGCTGCTGAAAGCCGGCTCTCCTCATCAAATTTTTTGCGACGGCGCTCCTTCACAGTGGCTCAAATTAACGAACTCTGATTCTCGCAAACTAACGAACTTAAAAAGCAAGAAGATACAGGAACAGGAATGATTGTCTAGAGCAACCCTAGGGTGTAACTCTAGGGGCCCAGTCCGGAGGGGCCTAGTTGTACAAGGTTCAAAGTACCAACATTTTGCTAAGACCTTCTGCAAACCAAGAAAAGGTTCTTAGAGTCTAAGATCCATAAGAAAAAGCCAGCCCTAGAACACCAAAGCAAAGTTCTGTGGATTAATCGCCTCCGCGAACCCTCATTGTTCCTAAGTGGTTCTTACTGATCTTACTGTCCTCTAGACCACACCCTGCTTTAAAAGTGGTTCCCGAAAGTGGCTCCTCAAACCCTGGGCCTGCCTCGTTCCTTATCTGCTTCGTAGCGACTTTGAGCTGGTGCTTCAGCGTCTGCCTCTCAGCGCGCAATTGTGGAAGTGGATCCGGTGGGGCTGCCGCAACAGGCGTCCTACCCCCACCAGCTGCAGCAGCGTCATCTGCACCATGGCTTCGCCGTTCGGTATCATCACTTGCTGCATCAGACATGCTCAATGTGCTGTGTGGTGCACAACAGTCTCCGCAAGCTGAATCCAAAAAGGCTGCGACACGGTGACTCAAATTGTTCCTCTCTGTCTCGCAACAAGAACAACAACATCATAGGAAAGAATCACATTGTCCGCCATGTGTTAAGGCAGGTTTCTGCGCCCTTAAAATGAAGGCATTCGATGCTTCAAGTTGATGGGCCCTTATAGTGCCATACTTGCCGCAGCTTTTTTCTTGCATAAGCGGCACGGATTGTGACACGCCTTGGGCGTTTTCAGGTTAAGATAGGTAAGACAACCATTTTGCGCCTTTTAGGCCAAAATGAGTATGTTCTGCATCCGTCGGTTGGCAAGGAAGCTTTGCCGACACTGATTCCTATGGTTCCTTTTCTCTGAGGAAATGGTGCCAGAAATATCCCCTGCACCTGACAAATCTGCAAAGGCGTGGGCCCATTTCCTTTTTCCAAAAATCTTGGATCTGCTTGGCCCAGCGCCAAGTTAAAATCTGAAGCAGGTCAGGGTGACCATCCAGCGCTGTTCTTCTGTGTTTTGGCATTTTACGTAAGATGTACCAGCTGCAAAGCTAAAAAATGTCTAAGGGTTAGAAATGCTTAGTGCCACAGGATGGCACAAAGAGAAGCTGCAGTCCTTTTCTTCAGCAAGTTACGTTAATTTTTTCGGTGGGGTAGGCGCAACCAAAAGCAAGATAGGCTTCACAGCAGGAGCCAAGGTTGCAAGGCTTTTTGCAACTAGCCGCAGAAATTGTCACGCCGTCTCGGCCGTCACCCACGAAGACTTACCACGAAGCAGTTGCAATCTGGATGGCGGCAATGCCTTGAAGGCTCTGGCAACAAGCTTGGGCATCCGGCTTTCACTGCAAACCAAGAAATGGGGCAAGGCTGCTTGAATACAAGGACGGCTAGCGATCATGGCTACATAAGTGAACGTCTTCCTGGATGTGTCTTTCTTCACCCTCATATGAGCATTGGCAGGGTGAGTCTTCCAGCAATGGGCACCCACCACACATCCTGTTGGACATGCCGGCGAGCAGTAAACGCATGTCTCATCCACATTGATCAAACAATGTCCTGGTGGGAGAATTTGTTGGCACAAGCAGGAAGCTGATCTCCAGAAAGATGCCACCTGCAAATTTTTTGGTATGTTTCTGGGTCCAAAAGAGCCTGTTTTCTGGCCCGAAAATGGATCCGCCAAACAAAAACGCCTCATTTCTAAGCCAGAAAAGGGTCACAAAAAACAAGCTTTTGCAAACGGAATAATAGCACCGCCTTCTGGCGAAGAAG